TGAGGGGCCTTTCTTGCCTTAAAGTAGCCCATTTAGTTGTTCTTGTAACCATGGTTTTGAGTCTATGAAGTTCCTGAGCTGTTGTTTGTCTGTGAAACTGTGTGTTGTTCCTTCTGTTATGAATGAGAGTCTCGCTGGGTAAAGTATTTTTGGAGAGGCATTTATTTCATTGAGTTTTTTCACTATGTCCCACCACTGTTTTCGGGCCATGAGGGTTTCATCAGAAAAATCAGCTGTGAATTTTAAGGATGCTCCTTTGTAAGAGATTTCTTTCTTCGATCTTGCTGCTTTCAGAATTTTGTCTCTGTCTAAGGTTTTGGTCATTTTGATCAGAATGTGTCTTGGGGTATTTTTATTCGGATTTCTTCTAGCTGGTACCCTTCGGGCCTCCTGAATGTGGTCACAAGTTTTCTTCAGCTCTGGAAATGTTGTAGCAATGATTTCTTTGACAGTTTCTTCTTCATCGAGGTTTTATTCCTGTACCTCTGGGACTCCAATAATTCTTATGTTACCCCTCTTGGCTTCATCACGATCTTCTCTTGCCATCTGTTCCCGAATTGTGAGTCTCTTTTCCATTTTCTGCTCTTTTCTGGAGAGTCTCTGAACTTCATCTTCGAGTTCACTGATTCTGTTCTCAGCAGCTGTTACTCTGCTGCTGAGGCCTTCCACTGAGCTTTTCAATTCGCCTAAGAGATTTTTCAGGTCTGATATTTCTGATTGCATTTTCCTCATTTCTGCCTTCAGATCCTCTTGTCTTCTATTGGCATTGCTTTCCATTGTTTCTTTTAATTCCCTAAGCATCCTAAGTAGCTCCCTCCTGAATTCCTTGTCAGAGAGGTTGTCTAACACTACAGTACTGTTGGTGTCATCTGGGCTAGACTCTTCAATATGAAAGTTTGGTGGGCTTTTGCGTTGCTTTACCATTGTGAGAGGTGTGGTTTAGTCCTTCACGTTCACTGTTACTATTCTGCTTGATATGCAGTGTGAGTTAAGATAGGCTTATGAGTTATTGGCTACTGTGTTTCTAGTGGCTGAGCTAAAATAGAGAAGTTTCCATCTAAGAAGGTATCTTATGGTTCCTAAGGCATATGTAGTTGAAAAATAACGCGGCCGTGGCTCCGGAAAGAGTCCCTGGCACTGGCGAGGAGTTGGGAACGTCTCCGGTCTCCGGTTTGGAATTGGAGCCGTTCAGCTTTGTTGCCCAGAGCTGGGCCTCCGTGCCCCTCCTGCGCAGCTCAGGGGTTGAAAACCGGCTGTCTAGGGGCTGGATCTAGGTGCGCATGCCCAGAAAGGGTCCCAGGCCCTTGGAGGCGGGCTGTACCTGTTTGAAATTGGAGCCTTTCAGCTTTGTTGCCCAGAGCTGGGCCTCTGTGCCTGTCCAGCGCAGCTCAGGGGTTGAAAACCGGCTGTCTAGGGCCTGCTCTAAGTTTTATGGTCTCTTTCATTCCGCCTGCTTTGGGCTCTTTCTGTTGATCCTTTTCTTAGGTCTTGAGCTGTGAAGTCAAGTTGTTTATGTGCATCTTTCCTTCCGTCCACGAAATGCTTGCAGAGCTATAAGTTTTCCCCTTAATACGGCTTTTGCTGCATCCCATAAGTTCTTGTAGTTCGTGTCTTCGTTCTCATTTGTTTCCAGATATCTTTTGACGTCATTGTTGACTTCATTCCTAAGCCACTCGTTGTTTAGCATTGAGTTGTTTAATTTCCAGGTGTTTCATTTGGTTCTCCATATCTGTGTGTGATTCACTTCTATCCTTCATGCATACTGGTCTGAAAAGAAGGTTGATACTATTTCTATCTTCCTGATTCTATTGATGTATGTTTTGTGGCCTTGCACATTGTCTATTTTGGAAAATGTTCTGTGCTCACTGCGGGAGAAAGTGTAATCTTTCTTTTTGGGTGTGTAAAGCTCTGTATAGGTCTATAAGCCCTTTGTGTTCTATTTCTTCTTTCAAAGCCAATGATTCCTTGCTGAGTTTTGTTTTTGTTGATCTATCCAGAGGTGAAAAGGTGATGTTGAAGTCTCCAACTACAATTGTGTTGCTAGCAATGTCCTCCTTAAAATCTGTTAGCAGTTGTTTTAAATATTTAGCTGTTCCCTCATGAGGTGCGTATACATTTAAGAGTGTGAGTTCTTTCTGTTGTTCATATCCCTTGATTTAGAGAAAATCGCCTTCATTGTCCCTTTTAATCTTTTTCAACCTTGAAATTAATATGGTCGGATTCTAGTATGGCCACCCCATCTTTTTTGAGGGAGCTGTTTGCTTGCAGGATTGTTTTCCATTTTTTAACTTTGAGTCTGTGTTTGCTCTGACTATTGAGATGAGTTTCTTGTAGGCAGAAGAATGTTGGGTTCTGTCTCTCAATCCATTTTGCCACTCTGTGTCTCTTAATTGGTGAATCTAGACTGTTGAAGTTGAGAGATTACTATTATGGGATTTTGTGTCATCTTTTCTAAGGGTCTGTTGTGTTTGTAGGGTTTGTCTTGTCTTATAGTAGCCCTTTAGACCTTCTTTTAGGTTTGGTTTTGAGTCTATGAAGTTCTTGAGCTGCTGTTTTTCTAGAAAATAGTGTACGGTTCCTTTGATTTTGAATGCAAGTTTAGCCAGATAGAGTATTCTTGGTGAAGCATTCATTTCAGTGAGTTTTTTCACTATATCTTGCCACTACCTTCGGGCTTGGAAGGTTTCATCTGATAGATCTGCTGTGAATCTCAGGGGTGCTCCTTTGTATGTGATTTTCTTCTTTGACCTTGCTGCTTGCAGTACTGTGTCTTTCTCGGCAGCATCACTCATTCTAACTATGATATGTCTTGGCGAGTTTTTGTTAGGGTCTCTTTTAGCTGGCACCCTTTGGGCTCATTGAATCTGAATGGCTGCATTCTGGAGCTCTGGTAATTTTTCAGCGATGATTTGTTTCACCGTGGCTTTTTCATTGGGATTGTTTCCCTTAGCTTCTGTTAGTCCAATGATCCTAATGTCGTTCCTCTTGGAATCGTCTCCTAGGACTCTGATTCGCTCTTGAGCTATTTTGAGGTCCCTTGCCATTGTTTATTGTTGCCTGTTAGCTTGGTGCAGCTGATCTTCCAGCTCACTGATTCTTTCCTCAGCTGTCTTCATTCTACTTTTGAGGGCACATACTGAGTTTTTTAGTTCATCTATGGAATCTTTAATTTGTTACATCTGTGCATAGCTTCCTAATTTTTGCGCTCATTTCTTCCTGTAATTTGTCTATTTTTCTGTCATTTTACTGCATACCTGTCTGACTGTTTCATTGAGTTAATGGAACATCTTTATGACTTCATATCTGAATTATTTGCCAGAGAGGTCCCTTAGGTGAGTAGCACCTACAGAGGCTTCTGGACTCTTTTCATCGACTTCCCCTTGTGGTGGGTATTTGCGTTGTTTCTTCATGTTGGTGTGTAGGTGTTGGGACTAGATTTCTTGGCATGACTAAACTACTTGCAGAAACTTGCGCATTGGCCCGCCAAAAATTAGGCCTCACCCACTTCTACAGAAGCCATGCCCAGTTCTAAAGAGGCCACAGCCCCACTGGAACCTGGTACAGACTGGGTGAGGGAGAAAACTAGCACAGCTTGGGGGATGAAGAGGAAGAGGCAGAGGCTCAGGGCTGTTTTGTCTCCCAAAGTCCAAGAGGATGCCTGGGGGGCTTGCAGGCAGAATCCAAGTCCCGGGTTCGAGTACCAGTGGATAAACTGACCTGGGTGGGCGAGAAGACCAGCAAAGCCTGGTGGACAAAAAGGAAGAGCTTTTTTTTTATTTTTTAAAGTTGTTCACAGTAATTTATTGCATTCAACATTCCAGCACAAATCCTGAAACCATTGCACTATCCCACCACCCAAACCTGCCCCAAAAGCACGTACTAAAGTTATTTTGTATTGCTTGTTTTGAATAGTCTGCTAAAATGGTTTCAAAAAGTTTCCTTAGAGGAAAGTGTGTGAAGAGTGTTGTATCTTACCCTGGAGCCATATATTTTCAATTGACATAGGTGGTCTTCTACATTACACACCATCGCTTTTGGTGTGCTACTCTTGGTATATTATTAGAGCAGAGTATGAAATACATTGCCTTCTAACATTACAAACCATCAAATGTGGTGTGCTACTCTTGGTATATCATTAGAGTATGATATGTGTGGCTGGAAATGCGGCTGTATGCTACAGGAATTTAAGAATTTTAAATAAGGTGATATAACTAAATTTTTAACTGGTGGTTTTGGGGTGCAGAGGCATCTTTTCAGTGTGTTGTTCTCTTTCTCTTTTGAGATTTATTTGTGAACCTCTGGATCATGGCCATAATTGAGCATATATGGCACCAGAGACAGTTTGTGGGGTTGACTACCCGGCTCCTGGAAGAACAGCGAGATGGGGGGAGGTTGCCAATTCCCACCTCCATGAGAGCCTGGGGATTTAGTTCACAAAAACCGATTGCCTGAGTTTTTCAGCAGATTCTTTCTCTTGGGTGAGGGTTTATCCCAGGCCTGTGGAGATCAGCCTTGAGCATGATGGTGATTGGGTTCTGGAAATTTTTGACTGCCAAGGCTCTTTGGGGCAGGTGGAAGGACTTGATGACCCCGCCTCCAGGGCATCCCAAATGGAACAGCCTTGTGAGGGTTCCAGACACATCTATGTGGCCTATTGCTATTTTTCTCCTCCAAGATTTTTTCCTCATGGTTCTTTAATTAAATAAAAAAATGAAAGTAATAATGTCTTTAGCTATATTGTACTAAGGAAATCAAAAGTATATTTTGAGAAACATAATAAGGCAAATAGAAAACAAGACTTTTTGCATTTAAAATTTAATGAACTTTAAAATGTTAATGAAATTAAATTCATAAAATCCTGAAATAAAAACTTTTGACTTACAGGGTTTACTTGTGACACGTGTACCATTCTGTCTCCTCTTAATATTCATGATTTGACTTCATGAAGTTGTTTCACATTTAGGTTTTAAGAAGTGAATATTCTATTTTATGTTTTCTAGTGAATATCACCTCTGCCAGACAGTTAACTGGATGTAGTCGCTTCAGCCATATTTTCCCTTCATCTGCTTACCAGCACATTAAAATGCATAAGAGAATTCTGGGGCACCTATCCTCAGTCTACTGTGTAGCATTTGATCGAAGTGGGAGAAGAATTTTCACTGTGAGTTAAAAAATGCTGTAGTAGGATAGAGATTTACAGAAATTTATTCCAGGCCTTATGAATTTGAATTATGCTTTGGAGGAAATTAATCTTTTTAGAGGTATGAGTGCAAAATACATGAATAAAATTAAGTTTCATTTTTTGTGTAACTACCATACTTTCTAATTTTAAAATCTGATTCTAAATATAAACCATCAAATTACCTTTGGATTTATAGGTAAGGTGGTTAATTTATGTAAAATTCTTTATTCAGTTTCATTTTATATCATTCCATTTTAGCAAACATTTATTAAAATGTACTTAACCATTTTTCACAATGTAATTGGTGCCAATTTTGTTTAAAGTAATTCTTTCATCATAGTTTTGGTTGAATATTTGAACTACATAATAATGAAAAATACAATTATTGTGGATTTCTTTGATTTTTAACACTGATTTATTTTTATAATTGAGATTTTTAGCTTAAGACTCTGGCCACAGATAGTTACCATGGGAATGGGAGTAGTGGGCTGATTGAGGCCAATGTACTGTGATGGAGGGATATTGATTATGTCATTAGAGTGCTGAGTGATATGCTAACATTATATCTTTAAAACATATATATTTGCACTCTTGTAAGACAATTTACTTCAATTAGAATAAATCTAAAAAGTAAATAAAATATGGTTTTTATTAACCACTAATTCAAATGTATTTGAGTAAAAGAGTATGACTTACTATTTTAAGATAATATTAGTAAATTGTTTTAGTACTAAGTCAATTCAGAATTATGTAGATAATGACATAATTTTCTTTTTATGTATTTACATGCTACCACAATGTAAGTGATTTACATTTTGAGAAGTTATAGCTCCTTGAAGTTTATTAGACTCTTCCATTGATTTTTTTTTTTTACTTCAAATGTATCACCTAAGTATTTGGATGTTGGTGATAGTGATGAGGATGATGTTTGCCAATTTTTAATAAACATTGTTACTAAATAATATATACAGTTATAGTAGAATGGCTTTTTGTTATTTTAAATCCTTTTCGAAATTTTTATTAGGAAGATCAACATAGAATTTTTACTATACTTTATTGACAGTCTTGTATTTTCTGAGAAATGGAGGTTAAAATGTATGTGTAGGAAAAATTATCAAGGAATAGAAAGACTCGTTAATTCTAAGAGCACAAATGATGGTAGAGGTACATAATGTTAAACCAATTAAAAGTGAATTTAAAACATTTTGAGTTGTCAGGATTGGTAGAAATTTTGAATCCTTCACAAGTGCCATAGTCAGTTTTGCCAATGCTTGCCAATGCTGTTATTTGACATTGTTATATTTGCCACTGGATTTATGCCATATATACATCATATATATTAATATTAATCTTATTAAATTAATATTACTATTATTAAAAGCTTAGAAGCTACTTAATAAAATCTACTGTCTGCATTTTGAGGGAGGATTGGTGGTAGGAGAATGGCATATTTGTGCTTCATTGAAATCTCCTGTCCTTTGTAATGCTATAGGGTTCCGACGATTGTTTGGTGAAAATTTGGGCTACAGATGATGGACGCCTCCTTGCTACACTTCGTGGACATTCTGCTGAAATTTCTGATATGGCCGTTAACTATGAAAATACTCTCATTGCCGCAGGCAGCTGTGATAAAGTTGTAAGAGTGTGGTGTCTTCGAACCTGTGCACCAGTTGCTGTCCTTCAGGGGCATTCGGCTTCTATTACTTCAATACAGGTGAGAAAAATGAAGACACCTCTAATTTAGATGAGATATGAAAATGATAAGTCTCTTGTTATTTTTATGCTGTGTGGATATTATTAAAAATGGACACAGATGGTACAGAGAGATAGTACAATGGTAAGGCACTTCCCTCCATGTGGCCTATCTGTGTTATCAAACTACATTTGGTCATATAACACCCACCTGGAGTGATCCTAGAGCAAAGAGTCATGAGTAAACCCGAGCACTGATGGGTGTAGTCCCAAAACAAAACAAAAATAATGTCAGCACAAAATGTTCATCTCTTAAGGTATTTATTACTACACTGCAGGAAGGCATATGGAAAATATATGGAAATAATGTCTTATTTTAACTGATGTTTCAGAGATTCATCATTATAAATCAATATCTATTAAGTACTATATGAAATTCACCATTAACTATCTAATTATTTTCATTATACAATTAAGCCTCTCTCAACCTTATATATACTCCCTATTTTCCCTTTTCCACTAGTAACAAATAGAAAAAAGTAAACATATCTTTGTAAAGCACTGTCACTGTCCTCCCATTGTTCATCGATTTGCTCGAGCAGGCGCAGTAACGTCTCCATCGTGAGACTTGTTGTTACTGTGTTTGGCATATTGAATATGTCACAGGTAACGTGCCAGGCTTTGCCATGCAGGCAAGATACTCTCGGTAGCTTGCTGGGCTCTCCGAGAGGGGCGGAAGAATCGAACCCGGCTCAGCCAGGCCAGCTGCCAGCAAGGCAAATGTCCTACCTGCTGTGCTATTGCTCCAGGCTATGGCCATACCACCATGAACACACCTAATCTTTGTAAAAGTTCTTCAAATATACTTAGACATCTTTTATCACTTGTATTTATAACAAAGGGAAAAGATTTACAAATATTTTAAGAAGCAACACTAATGCCTTCAGGATAGAAACAGTTTCTAACTTGAATATTGGTATGCTTGTTGTTAATTATTTCATGTAAAATATTTATCAGACAGGTAATATTTTTATGTAAGAAATTTTGTATTCTTAGTTTAGTGTTTTACTATTTTAAATTGATTAAATGTAATACTCTTAAATATTTGTCTGTATTGTGGGTGTTTTTTTCCTTTTTTTTTTTTTTTTGCTTTTTGGGTTACACCCGGAGATGCTCAGGGGTTACTCCTGGCTTTGCACTCAGGAATAACTCCTGGCGGTGCTTGGGGGACCATATGGGATGCTGGGAATCGAACCTGGGTTGGCTGCGTGCAAGGATAACGCCCTATATGCTGTGCTATCATTCCAGCCCCACATCCAGTTTTTTTTTTTCCATTTTTTTTTTATTAGTGAAACACCATGAAGTACACTTATAGACTAATAAATTTTTGTGCTTGGGTTTCAGTTATACAATGATCAAGTACCCATCCCTCCACCAGTGCCCATCCTCCCCCACCACGGGTCCTAGCATCCCTCCCACCCCCCATCCTCCCCCCCACCCCCCCGTCCCACCCTGCCGCTGTGGCAGGACATTCCTCCCTGTTCTCTCTCTCTTCTTTTGGGTACTGTGTTTTAGCAGAGAGGCATTGAGTGGCAGTCATGTTTGGTCTATAGACCACTTTTAGCATGTCTCTCCCACCCTGGGAGGGTCTTCACAACACCCTTTATTTGGTGCTCTCTTCTCTATCTGAGCTTCCTTCTCACCTAGCACATGTGGCTGGCCTTCAAGTCATGAAGCTAAATTCCTGGTACTAATCTGAGCCCTTCCTGGGTGTTAGTCTCCCGTTTTGTTGCTTTATGTTCCCCAGATGAATGCAATCTTTCTGTGTCTATCCCGCTCTTTCTGACTCATTTCGCTTAACATGATACTTTCCATGTAGTACCACTTGTATGTAAATTTCATAACTTCATCTTTTCTAACAGCTACATAGTACTCCATTGTGTAAATGTACCAAAGCTTCTTTAACCAGTCATCTGTTCTCGGGCACTCAGGTTTTTTCCAGATTTTGGCTATTGTAAAGAGTGCTGCAATGAACAAACAATTGCAGATGTCACTTCGACTATACATTTTTGCCTCTCTGGGATATATTCCCAGGAGTGCTATAGCTGGGTCAAATGGGAGATCGAATTCTAATTTTTTGAGAATCGTCCATACTGTTTTCCAAAAGGGTTGGACCAGCCTGCATTCCCACCAGCAGTGAAGGAGGGTCCCTTTCTCGCCACATCCGCGCCAGCACCTGTTGCTTTTGTTCTTGTGGATGTGGGCCAGTCTCTGTGGTGTGAAATGATATCTCATTGTTGTTTTGATCTGCATCTCTCTGATGATTAGTGATGTAGAGCATTTTCTCATGTGCCTTTTTGCCATTCTGATTTCTTCTTTGCGAAAGTTTCTATTCATTTCCTCGCCCCATTTTTTGATGGGGTTGGGTGATTTTTTCTTGTGTAGTTTAACCAGTACCTTGTATATCCTTGAAATCAACCCCTTGTCGGATGTGTATTTGGTGAATATTCTTTCCCATTCTGTAGGCTGTCTTTGTATTTTGGTCACTGTTTCTTTGGAGGTGCAGAAGCTTCTTAGTTTAAGATAGTCCCATTTGTCTATCTCTGTTTTCACTTGCTCGGCCAGTGGCGTGACGTCTTTGAAGACACCACTAACTTCAATATCGTGGAGAGTTTTGCCAACTTTGTCTTCAATAAACATTATGGATTCCGGTCTGATGTTGAGGTCATAAATCCATTTCGATCTTACTTTTGTGCATGGCGTTAGGCAGAGATCTGAGCCCACTTTTTTGCATGTAGCCGTCCAGTTTTGCCAGCACAATTTATTAAAGAGGCTTTCCCTGCTCCATTTCACTTTTCTTGCCCCCTTATCGAAGATTAGATGATTATATGTTTGGGAGGAGATGTCAGTATATTCAACTCTATTCCATTGGTCTGCAGCTCTGCTTTTGTTCCAGTACCATGCTGTTTTGATTATTACTGCTTTGTAGTAGAGCTTGAAGTTAGGTAGGTTGATTCCTCCCATTTTCTTTTTCCCAAGAATTGCTTTAGCTATTCGTGGGGGCTTATTGTTCCATATAAATTTCAGGAGTGTTTGCTCCATTTCTTTGAAGAATGTCGTGGGTATCCTTATAGGGATTGCATTGAATTTGTACAGTGCCTTGGGAAGTATTGCCATATTGACAATGTTGATTCTCCCCATCCATGAACAGGGGATATTTTTCCATTTCCTCGTGTCCTCTTTTATTTCCCGAAGTAGCGTTTTGTAGTTTTCTTTGTACAGATCCTTTACTTCCTTAGTTAAGGCGATTCCTAGGTACTTGATTTTCTGGGGCACAATTGTGAATGGAATTGTTTTCTTCATGTCACTTTCTTCTCTTTCATTATTTGCATATAGGAAAGCCATGGATTTTTGGGTATTGATTTTATAGCCTGCCACTTTACTATACAAGCATATTGTTTCTAGGAGTTTCTTGGTAGAGGTTTTAGGGTTCTCTAAGTATAGTATCATGTCATCTGCGAATAGTGAGAGCTTAATTTCTTCTTTCCCTATCTGGATGCCCTTAATATCTTTTTCTTGCCTAATCGCTATTGCAAGTACTTCCAGTACTATATTGAACAGCAGTGGAGAGAGTGGGCATCCTTGTCTCGTCCCTGACCTTAGGGGGAAGGGTCTCAGTTTTTCCCCATTGAGGATGATGTTTGCTGTAGGTTTGTGGTAGATGGCTTTAACTATATTGAGGAAAGTCCCCTCTATCCCCATTTTGGCAAGGGTTTTCATCATGAATGGGTGCTGGATCTTGTCAAATGCTTTTTCTGCATCTATTGATATGATCATATGATTTTTATCTTTTCTTTTGTTGATATGATGGATTATGTTGATTGATTTCCGAATGCTGAACCATCCTTGCATCCCTGGGATGAATCCTACTTGGTCATGATGTATGATCTTTTTGATGAGTTGTTGAATTCTATTGGCTAGTATTTTGTTGAGAATCTTTGCATCCGTGTTCATCAGGGATATTGGCCTGTAGTTTTCTTTTCTTGTGGTGTCTTTGTTTCCTTTTGGTATTAGAGAGATATGGGCTTCATAGAAACTGTTTGGGAGAGTTTCCGTTTTTTCAATTTCCTGGAAAAGCTTGAGAAGAACTGGCAATAGGTCTTCTCTAAATGTTTGGAAAAATTCGCTAGTAAATCCATCTGGACCTGGGCTTTTGTTTTTGGGAAGACTTTTGATTACAGTTTCAATTTCCTTGATGTGAATAGGTCTATTCAGGTACTCTATATCTTCTTGCTTCAGCTTTGGGAGATGATAGGAATCCAGGAATTTATCCATTTCTTCTAGATTCTCTTGTTTCGTGGCATACAGACTTTCAATGTAGTCTCTGATGATCTCTTGAATTTCTTTAGTTTCTGTTGTGATATCCCCATTCTTATTTCTGATTCGATTTATTAAGGCTCTCTCTCTCTGTTTCTTTGCGAGTGTTGCTAGTGGTTTATCTATCTTATTTATTTTCTCGAAGAACCAGCTCTTGGTTTTATTGATCTTTCGGATTGTTTCTTTGTTTTCCATGTCGTTGATTTCTGCTCTAAGTTTTACGATCTCTTTCCTTCTGCCTGATTTAGGCTCTTTCTGTTGATCCTTTTCTAAGGTCTTCAGCTGTGAGGTCAAGTTGTTTATGTGCATCGTTTCTACAGTCCTAAGATATGCTTGCAGAGCTATAAATTTTCCCCTTAATACAGCTTTCGCTGCATCCCATAAGTTCTGGTAGTTTGTGTCTTCATTCTCATTTGTTTCCAGGTATCTTTTGATTTCGTCCTTGACTTCGTTCTTGACCCACTCATTGTTCAGCATCGAGTTGTTTAATTTCCAGGTGTTTGATTTTGTTCTCCGTGTCAGTGTGTGATTCACTTCTATCCTCAGTGCGTCATGGTCTGAAAAGATGGCTGATACTATTTCTATCTTCCTGATTCTGTTGAGGTATGTTTTGTGTCCTAAGACATGGTCTATTTTGGAAAATGT